ACATATTTCAGTTAAAAGTTACTGAATATATATCCAAAATATTCAATCTAATTAGAAATATATGACCACATAAATTATGGTATAGCAATTTCAGTCTACGACCCAAGTTAACGGAATAATTAGCGAAACGTGGGTGCCCAGACGTAACAGGATTAGGGTACCTTCGCTTCGCAATGTTCACGTATTCGTGAAGTTAAGAACTAACTTCCCTCTAGAGGTATAAATTTATAGGGTCTTTTCTAAGAAACTTTGTGACTAATATTAATTCATTAAATGACTTGAACTAGTAAGAAAACGAGCAGTCATTGTGATACACGTTGCTTTTAAGATTCCTTACAAAATATATTCAAATCAACCGTATTTATAAATGCAATCTGATTCTGATAATAGTTCTTCTAGAAATATACTTCTAGTAACGTTACTTTCTAAAATGAAAGTATATTCTATTACTTAAGTACCTAGCTATTATTTTTATAGAAACATTTATATGTAAAAGCACACATAACATAATTTAAAAGTAAGAAATGTTCCAGTCTCAAAAAAATGTATCCAAAATGCAAAAGGAATCACGAAAATCAGTGCAAAATGATTAAAGTGAACAAACATATCTACAGAATATACTAATGATGTAATATATTATTTATAATATAGAATTTATAACCTCTAAATTATAATCTACCATTCTATTGAAGTTTACTCAAAAATCAGTTTATATATTTAATTGATATTATTTGTATATTGTAATTGTAAATTGTATAAATAATTTACATACAGCTGAACTGAATGGCACCTTTTTATAAAAAATATAATGAAATAATAATAAGATAAACGTTGCATCCCGTTCGTCCTTCACAATTGTAATGATTAGTTATTGTTCGTATGTAAATATGTTGTTACTTTCATTTCTATTCGCTCTGCAGCGTCACCATCGTTTCCTGCAATTGTGATATTTTCAATATAAAAACTACATGTATGTATTATTTGAACTAGTGATGTAAACTAACTGCTATTTTTTAATTACAGTCCATAAAGTTTCTCTTCACTCGCTAGCATTTTGCGAGTAAGATGGACAACAATATCTCGTCTTACCTTTTACGCTATCCGTAATGTGCACAGTGTACCGTGAAGGATAGAGAATATGGCGCCAACTCCTACATAGAGAAATAGTGATGTGCACATTATAGTTATCCAAAAGTTTTACTATGAGAGTTGTCTTACAATTTATTGTTCTACTTATAAAATACTAGCTGTCCCGGCAAATGTTGTTTTGCTTTAAAATAAAACAAAAAATTTAGGTGTGGTAGTCCACACCTAAATTTTTTGTTATTTTTCATCCCCCTAACATTTAGGGGGATGAAAAATAGATGTTGGCCGATTCTCAGACCTACTCAATACGCTCACAAAATTTCATGAGAATCGGTCAAGCCGTTTCGGAGGAGTATGGGAACGAAAACTGTGACACGAGAATTTTATGTATAAGATTAGAAAAGCTTAAGCTTATAATGTTTACATATAAAACTATTTAACATAATTTGTAATATTGTTCTTAATTACATTAAGAGAGTTGTAATAAATTTCACATGAAATCAACTTCACTGTTTACTAAAAGTACTGTTCTGATTTATGTATAACTCTGACTCAAAGTGGAATGAGTGTAATTGCTTTTGACGTTAGGGATTTTATAAATCCTTTACAACATAATGGCTTTCAACCTTTTTAGACCCGGCGAAATAAGCATATTTTTTCTGTCGCCCCGGTCATGTACACTTACGGCAGAATGGGAGGTCGTATTTTGTATTAACACCATCTTAAGGTTCTTAATTGGAATATTAATTGTTTCTTATGTAATGTTAAAATGTTACAAACGAAGCTTGTTTGTAAAGATAGTCAGTGGCCCTTGGTTGCTTCTACCTACCCTCTCTCATAACAGGTATGAACATGAATGGATAAAATTATCATATAGAAAAAAGATTTTGTTTCGTTATTGTTTGTGTATGTAAAAAGGCTGAATTAAAAAATACTTGACAGATTTCAATAATTATTTCAACCATAGAAAACTTAGATTTTTACAAAGTAATTAATGATGAGATTTATACAATAATTGGATCTCTAATAATTAATATAAATTTTTGTACACAGAATATTATTTAAATGCGCTTGCGCACAATTTCCGGTCTGAATTGAAGTTGAATAGTCTCAAACATTGGTCAGCAACATCCATTGAAACCGATCTCTATGCACGATCTGCATCAGAATTCGATCCGAGTTTTTATGTTATACGTATCGGATACAGTATTGCTGGCAGACTAGCATATTTGAATACACTAATACGTTGTATGCAAATATGCTTTGCGAAATGCATTGATAGACTATATTCATTACAACAACATACCTACATATGTCTATACCGCCTGTTATTGTATTTCTGAGTACTATTAGGTCTATAGGATGTAAAGTGAATTCAAGTCATAGACATGCCATGTTAATTGTTTGTCAAATTTAAATTATAATAAATTTATTTATAAAGTTGCATCACATACAATCGCTCACATATAACTATTTAAATCTATAAAGGTATTGGATATTTTATAAATTTTATCAACAAACCAAATTATAAGTAGAAACTCTTTTATTTGTCCTGTATTACTTTGGTGTAATATACAGGCATGTAATATACATTGTACATTAAACATGTAATATACAGGCATATAGGTTCATTACTATTATATATATGTTTAGATGCATTCAAGAAAGGGGTTTGGCACTATAATATTGTTTTATAAATATCTCACGATGTCATTGGACTTGGCACAAGTCTACGTATGATATTCTATAATACCTACTGACATTACGCCTCATGTGTTCACTGGAGAGATCTTTTGTTCCTTCAATTTTCAATCCTATATTGGAATTAATATTACATTAATTTATTTATATACTTGAAATTGTATTCATTGCTTGAGTAATAAAACAATTACTAGAGAAATGAAGAATGAGAATAAGATTCATATCCAGAAATGCGAAAAAAAGGGAAACTGCAATTTTTTTAATACATATTTGGAATACTTTTAAATTCTGATTATCTCATATATTGAAAATAAAAGATATAAAAAATGTTTTTATTTTTCCATTAAGGTTTTTAATAAGTATTATACTAAAAAATATATGGTATGTAGTTACATTTATATACATATAATAATTATCAGTTATGTAATTTATTACTATACTTTTAGGGTACTTATAAAGTAAAATATATAAAACATACAGGGGCTTCTTACACTATACTATGCACTCAGGCCTTCAGAACTGTTAGACATAATGAGCATTAAAATGTTATATAATGTCTTCCTATGCAGTAAATTACAAAATAAGGCAATTATCTGGAATCCATATGAATTAAATATAACTCACTAACTATGCCCGCCGTTTTGGCCCGCATGAACTTTGTAGCCTACGTGTTTTTCTGATGTAGGTATATGATGCATTACCGTAAAGTTTCATTAAAATCTATTCAGTAGATTTTGCATGAAAGAGTAACAAACATCCATTGATCTTTAATCACAAACTCGTGATACTATAAGGCAGTATGGTTATAAAGTGACATATTATTATCATGAATTTGATTCTCTATGGAGAAGGAGTTGGGCAAATTTGCCGGCTTCTATTTATGTCACATTGTTTCTACTTTACTTCATAATCATATTAATTATTGTAATATATTACAGACATATATACGAGTACATGAGTAATTTTCCGAAGTAAGCATATCAGAAAACTGTAAGGTTCGATTAGTATTTACATGAGTTTATCTCTAAGTGGTTTAAATTGTATCGTAAAATCGGTGCATTACTAAACTGTGTGTAAAATTATGTATTTAAATAATACTTCAAATTAAATGGCCAACTTTAAATTCATTTAATAATGTTTACAGTTAACTATATCATTGTTTCATAGAATAATAAAATAAAATTATAATAATATAGTAAATATACCTACTATTATTACTATTTTTTTTGTAGACATCTACACCTACCTAAATATGTAGCCTTGATTCACATAGGTGAAACATATTTTAAAATATCTTCATTAAATTTCTATTAGACAAACATGTTTAATGACGTAATAAAATCTTCAGTTATTAGATAATAGATGTAACGTCTTGTTTAAACAACTACAAGTCTCAATATTTTTAAAACATCACAAGATCGCGAATTTAAACTGTCCTCATTACGAGCTAAATAAAAGTAGAACACGGACACTCGCTGTAAGATACTTAAAAACAATATTATTTTAAGATACCTACTATTGTAAGACCGAACTTCCGTTGAACTATTAACTAGGTTTACAAAATTACAAATACAGAATGTGATACATATATTATCGTCAAACGAGACTTTCAAATTTAAATTATTATTGGAAAAGGTAGTGATTGTAAATTGTAATTTAATAACTGGAGAAGGCTGGATGCCTCATACAGTTTTCATTAGGTAAATTATGATTAAATAATCATAGATTCAATAGAATTCATATGTCTATGTAGGTTTATCATAGATTATTACTTTAACAACGACAGTCTGTACAGATGAAAGCTTTATTGCTCTTTCACGTAAAAAGCACTGTAACATTTGGTAAAGTGATTTCTATATATCATATTTTATGCAATAAAATTTCATGTAATTTCTATGTGAAAGAACAATAGCTTCGAATCTGTACAGTAGTTTTTCCAATTTTTTTGACAGGTATATGATAAATAATATTCAAGATTAACACATAGTAATACTTTTATTATATATTTCCAGAATTTAGATGAACTATGTTTCAGGACAGAGCTAGTAATTGATACCTAAAAATATAACTTTAACTTTTTACAGAAACATATTTCTAGTAGATGATGAGAAATAAAACTGAATTGGATATCATAACTAATATTAAAGTTAACAATATTCTTAATAGGCTTAATATATACCAATTTTTTTTTAATATATATAGAAATATCTTACCAGTAGATTTAAGGAAAGGCGTAGGAAAATATATACACTAAAACACCCACTAGGTTGTTATTAAACTAATTAACAATAACACGTTTAAGTCTTTCAAACACTTGAGCTAAAACACACTTTCTACATTAAGTTCTAGTTTATAGATTACACTAATATTTATAAGTATATTTAATGTCTTTGGTCAAATTTTCTTAATGTTCTAAGGATTGTTCTGAAGGATAATAAGTATAGTTCAAAATCATTTGTAAAAGAGTGTAAAGTCGTTTCATAAACTGTGTGTAAACTTTAAAGGCTGCGATCAGAAATTTTCAGTCGTTTTTTATGTATAAATAGGTTTCGGTTTAAATCACACATGTGAGGCATGGTGTGTAAAGAAAATAAATGTGCTTGCGGGGTTTCACTAAAAAACTAGCGGGTTGTGACACTAATATCCGAAAGTCGTGAAAAGTTCTGAAAAATGTTTTCAACGTACATTTCACAACTCGCACGATTCGTTCGCTAATTCTCGTTTGGTATGGATTGTTTAAGTTATCATGTGATGTAAATTAGTATGTTCGTTAAGTCGATCGTGGTTCATTTAGGGGGTGTCGCGCGATCCTAGCGCATTGCTTACGCGGCGGGCGGCGACCGCGCGGGTATACGTAGGACTGGCCCGCCCGAGTCCCGTGCCATAGACAATTTTGTTTCGTGCGGCCGTGCTACCGCGCCGACAACCCTCGTCATGCACTCGACCGACATGCAAACCCGTGCAATTTTGAAAGGCCGCCGTATTTTTGTTGTCACTAATACCGTTTTGTTAACCTAGTTCATACAATCGATATAATAATTGTAGAGATATTATTGTTGACTTTGTTTATTTGTCATATCCACGATGGCCCATTTTATTGTCGACATAGCATGAAAGAATTCGTATTTACTATATTTTATAACATTTTTTAATTAAAATTTGTAGTTGAATTTTATTTGTACTCGGGGAATATTATGACACATTTCATATACCTATTGCATTAATTTGTTATCTATATTTACTATAAATTAAATTTATTATAGTAAATATTAAATAATTCAATACAGAAAAGTATTATGGGACCATTTAATGAATAATTATATATCACAATTAAATATACACATATGAAACTATCATCTATCTTGGTAAAGTTCAATTCTCAGAATCGCATGTGTAGCTTGAATTTAGTAATGAGTAAATACTATTGTAGACATTACATTTTTATACCTATTAACCAAAAATGGCTATGTGGTTAATTTGTATGCTGTCGAAGTGGGAGCGAGAGATATGCCAGCAAAACCTCTCTACAATCTTCTAAAAGATCTTTGTTGATCTGGCACTGCAATCAGCCAGGAATCGGTAAAACCTTCACGGGAGTATATGTTCCAGGACATGCTCGGAGTCAACCTCAGCCACACTATGGAACCGGCTCTCGCACGGTGAATCTATTATCGATCCGTCGATCGATTTAAAACATCTTACAACGCTAACTGCTTAGCTGTCACTGAGATTCTAATCGTGGTGGTTAAACGGTTTTTGTAATAATATAATTGAGCTAGAGGATCCCATTGGTCCAAATACTAATTTTGTTAGGATTTGTTATTGAATATATATAGGATTTGCTACTATCGTTGTTGGGGAAGAAATACATCACAATGATCAAAATTATTATTATCATTGGTACTCTAACAGTGCTCAGATGTTAAGATTAATTAAAAATGGCTTATACTGTAGTCATTTAAAAGAGACACTTGAAATTCTGCAAAACACATTACGCGTTATGACGTCACTTGCACGCCTGTCGACGCTGCGTCTATTCTCGTTCGTGCGACATTTCCGCGGTTCGCGTAGTCCGACGCGACATACCGAATGTCTTTGCCAAAGAAATTATTTGACGACACTCAAAGGTCATCCGTACGTTAAGAATTAATTTTAAGTGCTTAATTGTTGCTCATGTAAATATACAAATACGTTTTTTTTTATTTCATCTAGCTACGGCTTATCTTTATCTTACTATATATCCAGCCCATGGCATTTTATTAGTGCCTTGGGCTGAATATATAGTATAATTTTTGAAGTCTAAAATACTTGTTTATCTTTTTATATTCAAATGTACATCTAAATCGATCATGATAGATACATTACAAATTGGATATTGTATTGATTTCGATTTCATACAATATTATAAAAGTCCTTTACTAATATTATAAAGGTATTTTTTAAATTCACAAACTCCAAAAATAATTTACGGATTTTTTTATTTACAACTTTGAAAATTATAGTCAGATTTATTCAGGTTGATTTTAATTAGTTTTTTTTGGTATAATTTAATTAGTTTTTTTTATTGTGGTTCAAATCACATTAATTTCGAATTTCATAAGTTGATAAGATTCGATGTTTTGGATACTGTATTTTGCGTTTAAGTATAGGATACTTAAATGCAAAATACAATATTGATACTACTACTACTGAAGTGTATGTAAATACATAAGAATGCAAAGTATACATATCTCTTACTAATATTATATATGCGAAAGCTTGTGACAAGGTTTTGAAGAAACTTTACAGTAATATAGATGAATAACACATAGGCTATATTTTAAAAAGATATTATGTAAATTGATCGAAATATATAATGATAAATATAAGTGTGATGCAGACAAATTTGCAGGGATCAGCGAGTAAAAACTAAGTCACTTTATATTAAAGTAAATACTAAATAGCTAAACGGAACTATGACTAAATTCATGTTACAAGTAAATTAACACCTAATAATTTTATTTAAAATAACTTAAACAATAAAATATTCCTATACTTATTTAACTATAGGAATATTGCATTATCTATACTAATTCACTGGCTTAACTATAAAACATAGTAATTGAAGTTGAAGTACCCAATACTAGTCTATAATTCTCCTATTATTAGTCAAGTCTTCTATCTAGTAGAAATCATTAACCAAATTACCAGGAATACATTACAAGAAGGGTATTTAAGATAAGTGCCATTCCCACCGCTAACGTTTTCTGCAAAAGATTTATATTTTTTTGCATCCATAGCATTGCAGTAGTTAGTTACAGACTCTTCTTACAGGGGTTGATTTTATACAATAGTAAATCTGGAACGTGAACCTGTCACATCTATTTCAATAACCTTGTATGTAAAGTATTTCGGTTCAAGGGTAATGTCGTGGCAGTGAAATTAATGGGTATAGAGACTGTAGTCTAGAATGGCATCATATGAGGTGTTTAAATACAACAAATATGTGAATCTTCCAAGAAGAAAATGGAGGGTGTTGCATTTTCATTGTAAATTTGAAGCCTGTAATTAAAGCTCACGTCTTCAAGTAACTTTTTAATTAGATTTATCTGGAATCAGTTTACCTGCCAGAATCTACGCTAAATCTGACAGAGAGGCAATTCAAATTTTATATTATATATAAAAAAACAAATGTATATTATTCTGTAATTTGTATAAAGAAGCCTATTATAGGATAGATGAATTTACAGATGAAAGAAATATCTAGCAAGAATAAGTTTATTTGCGGACAACGTTTTAATTTATTTTTCATACTGCTTTCTTGATATATGATAGCTAGCGGCTTTTGTATTGATTGCCGCATGCATCCTCATGTAAAGTGCGAATACTGTAATTACCATATAGTAATTTTAAGTAGCTGTGATGTGGTCGAGTGGAATGAGTAGTCATGCTCACTAAAATGTCCAGACATGTGGCGGCGTGGTGGGCCGGGTCTTTGGGCTCCCTAAAATATGGTCGAGCGCAGTGATGGCTGGCTCATCCGTCATACTCATGAATGAGTGCTGTTTGTAGGGACTAGTCGGCTCTTATCACAACGACTGATTTAATCTTATTGTATATTTATATTTGACCCAATAAAATTGTGCTGACTATTCAAAAGTGCTTAAATTAAGTTTATTTGTATAAATGATTTTCTAATCTATTCTATTCCTGATTCCGATGCCCGCATGAAGATTATTATACATATATGTGTTTTATTAGTGTGTGCACTACTAGTACACTTTCGTCTTTATATTACTAATATTATGTTATCTGTGATATTACTGAAAAAAAAAGTGGAATTGAAAACTTCCTCCCATTGACAGCGGGTTTAAAGGAATTATAACAATATAGCTTAAAAAATAGTTTTTTAGTTAAGTAAAGCGTTTATCACTATGAATTCATCTTTAACTCAAAAAAATCAAATAGAATGTTTTAAATATTTCAACGTTCCAATATTCTAATATCACAAATTCGTAGCTATTTCTTGATAGTAGGCACCAAATTTAACGACGGTCAATGTTAATTAAAATGGCTCGTATCGTAAACTGAAACTATTTAAAAAATCCCAATTTGTTTATGTTCCGCAACAATAATATCATGGCTGCCATCGTGTAGATGGCAAATGCCAGGGATTATTACTATTTTACAATAATTTATTGTGACGTTCTATCTGTTCGTTGGCACTGGTCCGGACAGTCCTCAGCCACGGGCCACGACTGTTTAAGAAACGACTATGACTTTTGTCGATACACGTGTTTGTGTTTAGTTTAAATAAATATTGAGACTACTCAATTATGTTTTCTGGGAATTTGCATTATCTACGTCCGTAATATTTATACGTTATGTTGTACTAGGCAGACGTTTAATGCATTTAGAATAGAGTCCGTTGTTGTACTTTTTACAAAGTTGTATCTATGTTCTTGTACTAAATCATAATCTTACTAATATTATTAAAGTTTGTATACTCACAAACAGAAGGGTATTTGTTACTCTTTCACGCAAAAACTACGGAACGGATTTTAATGAAACTTTACAGTATAGCTTATACATCACAATAATACACAGGCTATAATTAAAAAAGATATTATGTAAATTGGACAAAATATATTGCTAAGTGCAAAATATACATTAAAATATAACAAACACTTACACTTCTATGACCTTGACAATAAAAAACTTATTATTCATTAGATATTCATATGTATAAGATCAATGGTGAAGTAAAGTCAAAACAGTTCGTAAGTACATAAGCGCCTAGAGACTTTGTATAACTGTTAATAAAATGTGTCTCTTTTACGAACTTAGGTACTATAACACGGCTCCTATTGCTGGCTACATGTTTACGATTGTAGCAGAATAACTTATGTCAAAAAGTTTTTCACTTACCTTCAGAATTCAAAGATTTAAGTTATGAAGAAATAACAAAAAAAAATCTAAACAAAACAAGATGAATTCTAATTTTTATATAACATATATTTTATATTCACGTAAATGAGTCACTATTTTAATTTGATTGTTTTAAATAGTATTATATACATTACATAATAGGAAATTGGATATTACATTTGCCGGAGAGATTTGTACAGAACTTATCAAATTTATGAATTGAAGTAATTATTGAAATTTTACTTTTATAATTTTATTAATAAGGAATAGGTTCTTTAGTAATAAAATTATTTGTTCTTCTACTTCAAAAGTGCTTACACTGGAGAGTAGTAGAGTAGGGTGAGTAATGCAATCTAATAATATTTAATTACAACATAAAAGAATAAGACTATATAATAAATGTGTGAGTTGAGTAATAAAATGAAATATTTCAAACAGCAAAATCATGCTCAGAGTGCCATCTATGTATTACAGCGGAATTTACGAATAAGTTCATATGGCAATGTCGCTTGCTTTATTGTGTACTTGCAACCGTTTCAAAATTCAGTGGATCTGTTAGTAAATACTGGCTACTTCATTGAAACTATTATAAACAGAGGGCATGTTTTATTCATATTAATTAAAAGATTTTTATTATGAATTTACATAAAAAGTATGGTTATGAAATATTTACAAAAATTGTAAAGATTTGTAAAAGAATGATGTAAAGTATAATACTTAGCCAATTAACGTTCACTAACAGTAATTAATCAAAATATAGAAACATATTTTAATTGATTTAGATATTTTACATTCTGAAAAATACAGCAAATAGGCGTGACATATCATAAAGTCGTACTTCCATAAATATAGAGTCCTCAAAATAGCACAGATACATTAATAAAATAAACAGTACATGTTTTTTATTTCATCTGTAGGTCAGTATTTTACTACGCGGGGTCCTCACCCTATCAGGGGGGAATTAGTTGTTTAAGGGGCAATTCAAAAATGGACTCGACACGTTTTAATCCTTCGCTCGACCCATTTAAATGCAATGTTTATATTTCGGTGCCATAATACGACAAAATCTCTATCAGATTAAGAAAATTTTCATTATACGCTTTGAAAATTTACTTAATCTGATTCGTTAATCATTTTTGCCAATGATTTCTTTCTAAACCATGTAGTTTAAAAACATGTATAATATGCATTGGGTTTAAACTTGTTTATTGCAGGCCTAAACCCGTTAAATTATATAAATAAATAAATAAAGTTTCTTTAAACAATATTAGAACAATTTAATTTTTTAATGTTAAAATTTATGTATATTACAATATTTTAGAAAGCACTAATGTGAGGTATGTCATAAAAAGAGGTTGCGAATCACTTCTCTAAATGTTAACTACTCTACAATAGCATTACATATTTTATTAAAATTTCATTTTAATAATATACGTAATGAATTTTATATTAAGTTATTTCCCTGATGTAATAAAATATGCCTTGCCTATGCCTATGCCTATTGGCTAAAGTAAAAATATGTTACTTATAAAATATTAAAATACACGAACGCATGTTAATTGTAATATGGAAGCTGCAACTCAGGAATTAGGTCAACGGGAGGTCAAGGCTCCTATAAAAGGCTGCAAGCATTTGTCCCTGCCTTTCGCGAGATATATAGGTTGCTACTTATAATATTTATTAATGTAGGTAAACCTACATTCCCATTTGTAATTACTAAAACTGAATTAATTTATTTGAGATCAAATTTTTTTATTGACCTTACTCTGTAAATAATTTTATACGTCTATCGTTAGGTATCTTCGAACAAAGATAATATTTTTTAACATTTTAAATACATAAGTTAGTGGTTTTAAACCAAAATTAATTATGATATATTATTGTGTTAATAATAAATTAATATTACAAATAAAATATTACATGTCTCAACGAAAATCATGGAAGGATGAAACAGATATTCTGTCGAGTCTGGAGACGCCTGTTTCCAAAAATAAACTCTCAATGTCCCGAGTTTTATATACAGTTATGTAAAATGAGTATAACAATACACAAATCATATAACATTTACTTTGTTAAGATCCAAAGATTAATCTTGTGACTAATCTATTGACAAATCTAAATGTTTGAAAATGCTAAAATATAGATCAATAATATGTAAATGTTTAGTAGTGAAGAACTCTTAAAATACTCAATATGATTGTTTTATAATTATATCAGTTTGTAAACTATAATGTTACTTAAATTTACATAAGCGATATTAAAAATATCGCTTATTACTAAAATCAGATTTATCTCGTTCTAAGTTTGACAGGCTGCGCAAGGACCTGCGCGCGCAGTGATACGCCATCTTGAATTTTCCTCCTATACCCATTTCACTAAGAGAGGGAGCTTACAGGAGGTAACAGCTGTGAGCGCGAAACATTCCTCATCTTTATTCTAGACCTAATTTTTGAAACAGTTGAATAAATAGTTCGACATCTAAATAAAATAACGTGCAAACCATGGAGTAACTTAACTAAATCTATAGTTACTGGTAAAGTCGGAAATTATTGGAAAGCGTGAAACTAACTGTTACGAAATAACTACAGAATTATCGATTTTTGTGTGTTTTAAATTGACGGCAGCAGTGAGATTGTGTACTTTGCGTTGTGGTCGCTCGGATGGGTTTCATAAGGATTTATAAACTGTAGGTGTTTTGAGGTCTGCAAAACAGGCGCAAGAAATCGATAAACGCGTAAAACTGTGGGAGTCGATCCCGTTATACAGTACGAATGTGAAAGGGAGGGATATACACAGCGTGGCTTACTGTTGTATCTCTGAAACAATTTTCAGCGATATATTATAAATAGTGATAAATTTAACGTTTCTGCTTCAATTAATTGCTGAAAGACTGAAAAAGGTTAGTACTGTTTGTTAGTAGATATAATGTGTATTTTAGTTAACCTCAAGAAAATAAAAGTTACGATAACTTGAGATATGTTATTGCTGAATTACAAGAAAATTTTAGATATATACTCGATATATAATATAATATTTCTTTTTTTATGTTAAGTACGTATGTTATAATTGATATTTATACAATTATATTGAAATCTCTATGATCAATGTATAGGGTAACTTAAAGAATTAGTCAGCCGTAATTTTTCATGACGTCACATACCGCAAATGCAATATTTTTGCTTATTAATTCACAAACTTTAATCCAAGCCGACACACTAGTTTTATCAGGAAAATATACTCCTAAATTATTATTAAACTTATTAATGTAGTAATTGTAGTAATTTTAATATGTCTACTTAATATTTTTTGTAGTGATTTTAATATTTTATATTTCCGTTTTAACCGCTTAGACATACAACTTCCAAAATGACCTTTTTTACTTCTTGTCTAAGTCTGAAGAACAGAGGTTATATAAAAATAAGGTTGGGCGTTATGAAGTTAGTGAGTGACGTCTTCACTTTTTATGAGTAGCACTTTCTCGAGAGTACTATTTACCATAATATCAAATTTCATTATAATCTGGTCAGCCGTTTAAGCGTAAAAACATAAAATACAGATATAGAAACAGACAGACAGGTGCTTTTTGACGTATATAACATTAGTATAAATATGTTTATTTTTTAATCATAAAAAAGACATATCTAGTAGACATTTATCTTAGATGTATGTACGTCTATGAGAATATTACAATTAAAACAGGCCTACGCAATAGGCTTGTTTGTCTCTCAACAGGGAGCAAAATGACACAGTAGGGATATTCCTTGTGTAATATATACTACAAAGGGTTGTTTATTAGAGGGTGTTTATTAAATTATATGAATTGAAACTGATTACTGACTTAGGTACTATTCACCCTATATAATTTGAGCGAGCAGCTTTCTTCGTGTTTGGTATATATTTTTTAGTTATCTATATCTTATTAATATTTTAAATACGAAATTTGGGAGTATGGATGAATGGATGTTTGTTAGCCCTTCACGCAAAAACTACTGAATAGATTTAGATGAAACTTTACAGTAATATAAGTCAGATATCAGAATGACATATAGGCTATAAATTTCATGCGGGTGAAACGGCGGACACAGCTAATACCTCACGTAACGTAATTTAGAGGTGAATATAATGTGTTCATAGACTTGAATATGTTTTAGACATTTAGTAATATATGTATATACCTATATATAATATAATATCGATAAATATGATTCTTTATAGATAATTAAATATTATTAATAGCTTCTCATACATACGTATCTACTTAAGTTATAGTAAAGTAATTTGGACATTTTTAATAATGATGCAGATGTATACACGGCTATAAACATTCTATCGTATGGGAAGTGACGATACGGTGGTATTATCTAAAGTTAGGTTCAATTGTTATACAAGGACATTTCTATTTGACTGTTAGTACAAAGTAACTCTTATAAGTAACGCAATAAGCATGAAAATTCGTCATTATCATCAGAAATGATAAGGTCTTTCATTTCAACGTTGAAAGGTACAACAATGTGGGTTGTATGTATGTTAACACAGGGTAATAAAGTTGTTTTTTACTTAATCAATACTATCAACTAACGGTTGCATGCTCACAGAGCGCAAAATGTTCAGTATAAAAAATACATACAGTTGTAACAGTACTTTATTTATTGTTTAAAATATAAAAATGGATAATAAAATTGAAAGTGTTAATAACAGTTTTAGTGAAACTAATAGTGCTGAGGTACAGAAGCATTCTACTTATTTTTTTATGGATCGTAATGTAACACCCGGCTACGCTAATGGTTTACGCTGGCGGGGCACCAGTAGAAGATGATTAGATGAGCGTGAGGTCAGGTCAGTTAGCCCATATCACGATGGTTTCCAGAGGGAACCGCGTGGAGGTTAAACTGACATGGTATATTGCTAGCAATAAGGTCATCAGTTCACATTTCTAACAATGCATTTTCCCTTCCTCTTAATTATTGATCGTCAAAATTCATAGTTACCAGAACTTCAAATATTTTGATTAATTTTATTCTAATGTTTTTTATTAGATGGCTGGCGGTGGAGATCCAAAGTGGCAAAAGGATGCTGCAGATCAAAATTTTGATTATATGTTCAAGTTGCTCATCATTGGAAACAGCTCTGTCGGCAAAACTAGGTAAGGATTAAATATATTTACTACTCCTCTTATTAAGATAGCAGTGCATAAGATTGAAACCACTTGCGGCTATTTCCTTGAATCTCTAAGAAAAAATATTTTTATCTTAATAACATAAAAAAATACGATTTTCCAATTTTGGTTATACTTTGAAATATCCGGAGGATATTAGTAGACTAGCAGGATAAATGGAGACCAAATCTCTTTGTTTTAAAAGAGACTCCGTTTTATGAGAATTTACAATAAACCTACATATAAAGAAGTTGGTATTATGCCTATTTCATACAATTATATTTTTGAACAAATGATCAACTTGAAGGGTTTATAATAGAATACGATGTAGATTTTTATTTATTCTTTCGCTTATTATAGTACTAAGTTACATATAAATAAACTTATTGAAAAAAAATATATTTGTGGAATTGTGCAGTGCTTAAAATTATCAAGGCAAAAAAGGCGCCTAGATCTAAATATCAATATTCTGTTCTAGTTTCCTGTTTCGCTATGCGGATGATTCGTTCACTTCAGCATTCGTGTCTACTGTCGGTATCGACTTCAAGGTGAAAACCGTCTTTCGCCATGACAAACGTGTAAAACTTCAAATATGGGTAAGTAATATTTTATGTCTTGACTAGATGTTAAATACATTTGGGTTCTTTAAAAAAATATCTATTATTATCGAGTATGTAGTCTATTTAGTGTATACATTTTTAAGTAATTAATATACATAATATATAGAACATAATAATAATAATAATAATAGAATAAGAATCGAGTTTCTTTCCAGTTCTTTATAAATCGATATCGAAAGTACTCCGAGTACTTTCGAGCTAAATGATGGTAGATTTGATATATCATAAAAGTCTTTATTAGATTTACATGAAGAAAGATATTTTGAATTGATTTAATTGGTACACTAATTTATGGGGTGGAAACTGACTTTGCTATTTTAGAGACTAATGTTTCATTTCCTGTAATAAACATACGCTATTTTGTTGGTTCTAATTTTGCCGTTTAGCATTAAGCATTAGGCTACTTTCATTAATGACATTTGAATCAGGACGAAGGCCATCAACTATTGAAAATTAAGTACTTTTTTAAATTCATGAATATTTATTAGTCTTTTCCTAACATTATAAGGAATTATACATATATTCCTTTTTTTAAATGTAGGGCGCCAAAAATCTAGGCAACGTTAGGAATATAAAGTATTAAAGTAATATTGGCGTATTTCCAAGAATAAGTCGAGCCTTTGGGTTTAATATTTCAGGACACTGCAGGGCAAGAACGCTACCGCACAATAACTACGGCATACTATCGAGGGGCTATGGGCTTCATTCTAATGTACGATATCACTAATGAGGAGAGCTTCAATAGTGTCCAGGATTGGTAAGTTAAATTAATAAAAATATTCTTCTAAGAAGTAATTATTTAATCAATTGAATAATGGCATTATTATCAAATTTTTCTATAGTTATTAGACCTATTAACTATATAGTTTATTTAATACAGCTGTACACAATATAGTACCCGTAGGTATTATTATTAGATCGTTAATAATTTCTCCCAAATGTCAACAATATTCGTGGGTTTTGAATTACTAATACTAAAAACAATTTTAATAAAAACTAATTTCTATATTAGTTATAACTTAAAAAATGAAAAAACTCTAAAATCTTGGTAATATCTTGTATATAGACTGTAATGTTCATCGACATACATTTATTCACAGAACAGCCTTTAATAATTCATCCTATTTTGAAATAATAATAGACTTAATGTTTATAGCAGTTTCGGTATAAAGCAAATCTGTTTTTTTTAATTCACTGTTCTTTCATTTATAGGGTAACACAAATTAAAACCTATTCATGGGATAACGCACAAGTGATACTGGTGGGTAATAAATGCGACATGGAGGAAGAACGTGTGGTCAGTGCAGAACGTGGAAGACAGTTGGCTGATCAGCTTGGAGTAGAGTTCTATGAAACAAGTGCTAAGGAAAACATCAACGTTAAGGTAAATGTTTATGTAGTTTAATATTGCAAATATCATTATTACTGGGAATTGCTCTCTTTATAAAAGGAAAATATAAATATAATAAATTGGCATAAGACAAGCTTTTATTTCATGTTCATGTCTTTTACTCACTAAGAATATAAAGCGAAAAGCCAGGCAGAAAAAGACTCACGAAACTGAAGCAGTTTCTCCTACATTTTATTGATTACATCTCTACACCGTTTGTATAAACGTTTTAAAAATTATTTTTCAATATTGACTTTACTTCTTTGTTCAGTTGCATGAATGTCCTTTAGCTTTCGGTTTAGTACACCCTCTATTATTAATATTATATTAGGGCTTTAGGCACCTTATCCCTTAAACCATGTCATGTTTAGTTGTGACCAAATTTGTTTTAACCGTCTCAACATATTGATACCAATAAAAAAATTCTAATTAGATTAGGTGGCGTGATAAATTATATTAATAATATTGAATTGAATATTATTTATATAATCTTACGTAAACTGTTTGAGCTTGTAACTTGATTCTCTTAAAAATGATCTAACACAATACGTGCAATATTAGAAAAAAGAATTATTTTGAATTTGCTATTGTAACGATATCAAAATCTTCTTTACAAATATTAATACCTAAATGTAAACTAACGTTTGTAATATTACCGCATTAAAAAGACGTTGCTGTTATATTATTTATTGAATATTGTTAATATTTAGATATTATTTAATAATTACCACTGGGGTCTATAAATTATTGCTCTATGAACATGCTTCTGACTTTAGAAGAAAGAATTATTTGATCTTTCGTTATATTTTGCTTTTATATACTTACCTTTTACGATTTATTAATATGAATACCAATTGTATAAAATATAGTTGATTCTTGTTTATTTTCAGGCTGTGTTTGAACGGTTGGTCGATATAATTTGCGACAAGATGTCAGAAAGTCTCGATTCGGAGCCCGCCATGTTGGCTGGTGGAGCCCGCGGTCAACGTCTGACAGAACAACCACAAGGCAATAGCAACCCTAATTGTAACTGTTAATAGAATACACTATACAATGAAAAGTTATTGCTTCTTCAGCTGTTTTATCATAGTTTATTTATTTGTTTTACTTCTTTCAAATTGAAGATTCTACTATAGAAAATAAATAAAGTCTAATTAATATTTTACTCTGCAAAAACATAAATTAGACAAATATAATATTTCTAGTTATCGATTTATTACCAAAAAATATTTATTTCTTCATCATTTCTATTTATATATTATTTTATTACATAAACCCCAATATAATTAAACGGTTTTCGATGTTCCTTAAAATACTTATAGTTATATCCAGTTTCAAGCATTCCTGTTCATTTCTAAACTTATGTAATGTTTATTATATGTGTGTCATTTAGTATAAATTGTTGTTACCATTTCAAGCATAAAGTAATTTAAGAAATTGGTTGAGTGATTGTTAAAAACTTGTGTAACAATAATAAAAAATAATATATATTAGTATTACTAAATCTATAGGTGTTAGATAGCTATATCTATGTATATTGCGAGCTGGAGTAGGGATCTGATACTTCTAATAGTTGTTAAAATTAACCTATATTGATGAATTTATGGCATAAATATATTTTTTATTATTTATTCGCTTTTAGGATTATTTATTTAATTGATATGTAATCGTTTAAGTAGTACGTGTTTTACAACGATATCTTACAATTAAGCATTTTGAGACAAAACCACTTACACAGTAACACGGGTGTGTTACTTTCTTTTAAATTTAACGAGAATCAGACAAAAAAGTCTATGTAGATTTACTACATGTTTTAAGAATTTATTAGACAATTTCTACTTGAACCTTGTCAAAGACTTTCCTCTTCGTTAGCGAGAGATTTTCAGCCTGCGAAACCTGCCCTAGGTTACAAAGTCATGTCAACAATAACTCTAACTTAATCCGAAATATGGACCAAAATTTTAAACTTATAACAAGTTTACTCATATGCGCTAACAAGTTCTCTATATTTGCCAAAAATACCATCAATATTTCACAATATTCCCAGCTTTGTTGGCGAATATATAGAAATTTATAGCTATATAATACAACACGAATAAAAGATGAACAGAGCATTCCATGAAGTCAATATGCGGGTGCCGGGTTCATCGTGTGGCAGAGAGGGGAACCCAGGAACTGCTCGCTATAGATTTAAGGGGCTCTTTTGTCTTCGTATGTCAATAGTCACATTCACCGCTCGTGTTTCTCTCCCGGCCCAGCCAAATTTGGCTAGTGCAGCTTGAGAGACATGCTTAGTTTCCAAATATACTCGTATGATTATTAGTCACAGTCATACTCGTATGTCGCCAATGTACTGAGTTTTCTGTAATACTAAATCAGTCATTGACTGTGCTCTGTACTATGAACGCAGTAACAATTGTTTGTCAATTATCATAATTTATTGCTATGACATTGAAAGCTGATGTTATAACGGGTATTATACATAGTACAGGAGTGACAATGTATGACATTCTTGCTGTATATGGCGTGTAACTTGTTATAAGTGTTCCCTAAACTGTTGATATTTTTATTTTCATTTCGTGTTTATCATTAGCTTTGAATTATTTAGTGGTAATTAGTGTTATCTATTGCTGTTAGATTAGGTTGCTTTATTTGATTGTAAGGCAATTAATTAGTGTGTCTTGTTATATTTTGGCATAATCAATATATCTTGACGTTATATTAATGTTATTATCAATGTGTTTGTAACTGCATGCAACTGAATAAGCTTAGGATCTTGGCCTGCATTAATAAATGTTCTATTTATTCGAGCATCTTTAATAAGATGCTCACATGTTTGTAAATATGTGTTTACAAGTGTATAAATAAACGATTGTATAGTATTATATCTACCTACGTATAAATCTGTTTGTATTCTTGTTACCTACTATGCTATGTTAATATCTAACTATAGGTGTTTATTTAATCACAATTGTTAGGCTAAGTAATATTATACTATGTAACCTTTTATTTAAATTGCATCATCAGTACGTATTATTGAGAGTATTCAATATGTATGACTATAGTGAAAGTGGATCAATTCGATTTAAAGTCAGTTTTATATACATATACGTGAAATGAAATGCTATGATAATTCATATAATACATATATGCATATTATACGAATTGTCAAAGCATTTCATTTTCATTCCATTTCATCGAATATTTGTACTCTCACATAATTATATCATTGGCAATAAAAATAATGATAGTATTTATAAATTAGTCCGCCTAACGTAAAACGTTGATAACGTAGCTTTCCCGTCAGCAACGTGATAAACATAGACACTGGCATACTACAAAAAAGTATATTTATAGATTTTAAAATATTTGCATATATAAAAAAAAATCAAAATTCATTGTTTGAGATAGATAAACATACAAACGTATTAGTAATACATAGAGAATTTCAATAACACTGAAAACAATCGGAATGATCCACAAACATCTATGGAATAACCATAGTTAGGGAGTATTTCCTTAATCTATGGGGCTAACACTAGACTTATTATCTGTAGATGACATAGACAATACGATTTATATCAAATTCTGTTGAAACATGAGCACATTATTTTTTAGAAACTAATTATTAGGTAAATTAGTTAAGTAATGTGTTGACATCATTTTGATGATATATTAAACATATACGTACTATATTAAAATTATAATGATTTATTTAATTGATCATTGCTTCAACTTAAAACACCCAAATAAAAGGGTTACATAAAATATTTGAGGAATATATTAATGGAGCGCCAAATTAAATTGTCGTAAGAAATTATAGCTAATTCAATATTTTGTGGATAACAATGTTTGCATTCTATAGCGCCAGTAACCTGTTTCTTTCGGGCTGCGTATATTCGGACACTATTGTCATAAGTATTGATATGTATCTAAAATTGGCTATTATCCATTAACTACTGGGCAACAAAGCGATATTTTTACATAATTAATATTTATAATAGACCTTATCTATTGTATCTTTAATGGACAATTACTGGTTGTTAACGGATACAGAAAACTTGGGTTTACATATTACATTCTATATATATTCAATAACAAATTCAAGTATGCGCAGTGAGTAATCTAAAAAAGAAACATTAGAGCCAATTCATTTCTGACTTGTGTTTGTTATATGTAAAAGTATCTAACATTATACAGATGCTACAATATCTTGTCAACTGCTTTCATTGTTTATAATGAATATCATGCTTTGGAATGTACATTTGGAAATGTCAATTTGACGAAATCAATTACATCGTGGACCCAATATAACAAAGTATAGAATTTACAATCATGAATCGTATACGTTGAAAATGTTTGCTGCCGCCCAATAAATTGAAACCCAGTTGTTACTGTCAGTTGTGTGTACATTAATGCAACTAATAATATAATAGAAAATTAGACCTAATTTAATAGCAGCACTAATTTGATGGGTCGATTTATTTGGGTTGCAGTGAAAATTTCTAAATAGAGCCCGCAGTGGATCTTAAACATTTTAACGAATTGATATATAAAGAGAAGTTGTAATCGTAGACGTATCGTATCTAGCAGTGTGTGTGAGTCCTATAGGAGGACACGAAAGGCATATCGTAGTGACGGGCTTTAGGTAGAGATGTTGTTTAGCAAAAAATAGTACTTACACTTTATCTGATATTATATTTATACCAAATAAAAATATGTGAAAGCATTAATTTATTTCGTGTATACATTGATTTAATACATCAATCATAAAGCTTAGCTCACAAATCAGTGAAATATATAATAATCGATTAGCTATTCTTCATTGAATGTATGTTATAATATTTGTTGTGCGTTAATAAAGGAATTATATATAGTACACTGATGTAAGAGATTCACGAATATATATTATAACATACGAATGTTGTGTTTATTTTACTTATCGTATTAATAAGTAATTTGTTACAGGGAAGATGTTTGATATATTGTATGTCTATAAAAAAAACAACTATGAAATTGGATTCTAACAAATGAAGTGTAGACGAGGAATTTACAATTATCTTATTTCTATACCTCGCCTATACTTTGCTACAGGTAAGTTCATAATTTATATTATTTCTTTAGAATTTGGCTATCTGCAATCAGTGTGGGTTCTATAAGCAGGTAAGTTGTTGGAAATTGGCGTGGGAGGATTTCTATCTATGGACAAAGTCCCCATATTTCAGCTAGGTAGAAATCTTTTATCCTGCTCCAGGACATGTGCTCTTTTTAGTCTGTTTGTTGGGTTATTGACTAGATGCTTCTGAACCAGTTCATTCGGGTGAATAGCAACGTGTCTTATATAAGTTTATAAATAAAATTGTATTTATTTAGGAAGGTAGATACCATTTAATTTACACATTTAATTTGATTTAATTCGATATTTGTCAATAATTATATTATATATAGTGACAGCGAAAAACCAATCAAATTTGGTTTGAAATTCTTTTATTTTTACAAAATGGAAATATTTGTCATGTTTTCTAAGTTATTCAAAATGAATTACAAAATTAAAAGAAAAAGTCTAATGTGAGTAACGACAGATTTAAAATTTAGTCACGGCACACTTTTCTTACTTATTAGCATCACGAACTAGGTCATATAAATCGATTAGGTCAAGGACATGTTAAAGTATAGAAATAGATAGTACAGTATGAACACAGATGTCTGTTTCAGTTCAGAACAGTAAATTTATAGTTAGGTACGTGGGTAATTTCTATTAATAATTTTGATCCTACAACAAATTTTAAACCCCTTTGTCGTAATAACGATCAACTATTTAGTGCACTTGTTAAAGTTGTTTGATTGTTTGGTCGTTATTTTCTTTATAAAATAGCAAACCTTTGCAATAGTCAACTAATGACTCACTGAGTGAATATTAGTCTGTACCGTTATTGTGTTAATTATCTTAATTATATGTAAGTTAAATGAAAAATTAATTATTGTGTCTTTATGGACAATGCTTCAACCTGAATCCCATAACATCTCAATCACAAAGATTAAATAAGTTACTTTAATATTGAAAAGTAAGAACGATTAATTTAGTATTCATCGTTGAGATTTTTTCATGACATAGGGCATTCGTGCAAGCTCAGTGATAGTACCTACATCAGTTTGCCGAAATTA